GAAGCCAACAAAAGAAGGGCAGAAAGCAAACGCCCGAATCATCATACAGGGATTCAAACATCGTGATGTGCTCGAAGACACTGTAGATAAGGAAGCTCCTACTTTGTCCATGGTTGGTCGCAGCTCCATTTATCTTTTTGCAGTGGTTCGTCAGCTCAAGCTGTGGAGTGCTGATGTGAAGACTGCTTTTCAACAAGCAGACAACATCGAACAAGAAGCCCGAGTGTTCATACAGCCCTCAGCTGAGATTCGACGCCTCCTGGAGAGAAAGATTGGCTTGAAACCATGGCAAATCATGCGTGCATCCAAGCCCGCTTTTGGTGATTGCAGAGCTCCAAGACAGTGGAATGCAACTGCTCATAGGTGCTTGACTGAGGAACTTGGCATGATCCCACACCCTTTGGATCGTTGTGTGTACCTCAGCATTCGAGCTGCATATGAATCTGATCCAGCTTTCGAAGTGTTCCAATGGAATGGGGTCCCTAGCATTGTTGACGGCATTTTTGGACTCCATGTGGACGACTTCATTGGTGCTGGTGAAGGTTTCTGCAGTGAGCATGATTTGAAAAAGGAATGTCCCAATGAAGAGTGTTTCCTCAACCGCATCCTGCGTTTGGCTCAGCGTTTTCGTTTTGGTGCATGGGATTTTGGAAATGGCTCAAAGATCATCTTTTGTGGTGCTGAACTGCAGCAGTCGCTAGACTACTCCACCATTTCGGTGAGTCTGGCGAACTATGTACAAAAGGTGAAACCGATTTCATTGGACAAATCCAGGAAAACAATGACAGAGTCTCCATGCGATGAACGTGAACACCGACAGTTCCGTGCCCTCATTGGTGCGCTAGCATGGCCTGCTCATCAAAGCATTCCAGAGTTGTGTGCAAGCGTGAGCATTTTGCAAGCATCAGCAAGCAATCCATGTGTTGGTGATTTGAACCAAGCAAACAAGCTGCTTCGTTTTGCAAAAGAAGTTTCAAAAGATCACCAACTGTACATGCGTGGTTCATGTGCTTTTTCTGAGTTGTGCATTGGAGCCTATACCGATGCTGCCTGGGCCGTGAGACCCGACGGATCAAGCCAAGGTGGACTTTTGGTTTTCATTTGTTCGCACCAAGAGCTGGAATCCGGCAGCATGATGCCGCTCAATGTCTTTTACTGGAAATCGCACAAGTTGGCACGCATTTGTAGGTCAAGTTTGTCCTCAGAGGCTCAAGCAGCCGCCATTGCAGTGGATGAGCTTGAATGGTGCAAGATTTTTGTTTCCGTCATGATCGACCCCACCTTGCCGATCGAAAGTCCGGAAGCATTGAAAAAGCTTGGACCATCCCCGCTTGTGACAGATGCAAAATCTTTGTTTGATGCTGCCAAGTCCTTGTCTCCCAGCATGAAATTGAGTGAGAAAAGAACTGCGATCGAAGTGGCCATCGTGCGAGATCGCATGAACGCTTTGTTGGGAAAATGGATGTGGGTGAACTCACATCAACAGATCTCGGACGGCTTAACAAAGCCGGCGTCGCGAGATTCCATGGCCTACATCATGAAGCGTGGCACCCATCAACTCAAGTTCAACCCCGACTTCACAGCCTCCAAGAAAGTGTCCTCGGAAGCCAAGAAAGAAGAAAGAGAAATCCATGAAGCTTTTTCAAAAGAAATGGAAGAACAACAAGTTTTTGCAGTAGAAGAGTGGCAAAAGCAGGAACAAGGTCTTTGTTTGCTTCCCAAATGCTGCAAACCTCGCAACGAGAGTGATCCTCGAAACAAATATTGCAGCAGAAGGCACTTCTATGCCCACCGTAGCTCTCAAGGACATCAAGACGAATGGAAGAAAGCAGCTTTGTTTTCCGCAGCCATTTTGATGGCCAGCGAAGTCCCTCTCGTCGAAGGAGCGCTGGAACTTGTGGAAGAACAAGCATGGAGTGGCCCAGTGCTCATGTCCTTTTTTGTCATCATGGTCTTCGCATGGATAGGTCTTGAGAACGTGTTCTTGCGCTTTGGCATTGAAACCATCTTCTACAAGGCCTACAGCTTTGTGAATGCCAAGTTGATGAATTGGTTCAAGAAGGAGGTGATTGAAAACGAACAGGTCACTGAGAACAACGAAGTTCCTGAGAATGACCCGGTGCTTGTGAACCAGCTCAATCCTCCGAGCCATGTCGTTTCCGCAGCTGTTCAGGCCGATGAGGTGATTCTAAATGCACTGACCTTGGCCCGTCGTCCTGGAATAGATTCAGGAAGCACGACTACGAACACAGAGTCGGATCTTCCAGATGAAGAATGGCATCGCTGGAGTCGCATGAAGGTGAGAGTTCAAAACGAGGCTGGACAAGGCCCATATCGTCGCCTTCTATGGGAACTTGAAAACCATGATAGCAGTCTGGACTCCCAGACAAGGTGCGTGTTGCAATCTGAGAGCTTCACCACACAGCGCTGGAGGAAGTTCAGTGAATTGCTTCGAGCTCAGGACACCTCGCAATTTTCTGATGAGCAAGTATGTCAGTGGCACCGAATGTGGAATGACAACCTGGTGTTTTTGGCTGACGTGAATCGTCGCATCGTTCGTCAGAGAAATCAGATCATTGCCTTGGAACGCAATGACCGTGTCCGTGAGCAAATCTACAACGGTGAACTGGCTGACCGAACCTGCCAGACTCCTATGACGTTTGTTGCTGGCACTCGACCAAGGCGCCTGGCTGAGAGAGAACATGGTGCCTGGTACCATGTGAGTGATTTAGATGTCCTTCGTTGAAGAGGACTCTAGCCCGCTTTTTGAATTTTCTTCGACAGCCCTTGAAAACTTCCTTGGGCGTGTCAATGTTGCGAATGCACATGTGAGATTTGTTTTCCAATTTGCAATGCATTTCATGATGAGAGCGGATAGATGACATTCGAGTCACACCGCAATCGAATTTCAATTCTCAAATCCGGCCGAAGGGCCCTTGAGTCACGTTCGGCGACGACCTTCGCCACCCGCTGGCATCGTGAGAAAGGACGCATCGCGGCCTTCGAGTTCTTTTTCTTTGGTTGCTTGGAACTTCGTGAGTTCAAGTACTTCGAGAGCATCCTAATGCAACATCGGAAAGAAAGGGTCACGTTGAACTGTCCTGGCTGACTTCACCTCACCAGATGGCCTCACCAACAGGCCAAGAGGGCACAAGGAACCACTCCAGGCCCAGGCCTTGGACCACCGCCCAGGCCGTGGACCACAGCTGGACGGGCATTTGGGCTCCTCAGCACATCGTCGGGCGACCGCGGCTCATCACGGCCAAGCGGGAAGGCGGCGCCAAACGGTCTGCGTTTTCCACCCGGATGGTGTTGTTGTGAGGTTACGCTTTTCTCCTAAGGGGGGTGGAGGACACATGGTCTATAGTTATATGACAACAGCTGCTAATGACGCACTAAAACGACTACTGCTGGCACCAGTGCCATCACTCTGAAAACACTATAGTTTGCCCAGTGGGCTTGTGTAGACCTGTTGTGATATGTTGCGAGGTGTTCCTACTTGTTCAATCGATGGCAAGTGAAGTTCTTCCGTGGTGTGCCTTCTTATATATGTGAAAGTGCCAGAGCTGAGACCCCTGAGACCCCCCAGGTGAGGCCTGGCATTTCACCTCTTCCGTGCCATGAGGGAGCCTCGCGACGCATGAAATTAGGCGGTTTAAGGCGCCTGACATGCCAGGGTATGCTGACATGGGGTGTGGGTCAAAGACAGAGGCCCGTGGCGGCCCAAATCGGCCGTGACGGCGCTGACATGCGCTGACCCATCCCCACTGTAAAGGGTCAACTTCCACAAGATCACCAGAAAGCGAGACCTTCTACCCTTTGCTGTTTCAATAAGCTCCTACCCTGGCCAATTCCAGTTTTCCCGGCTCAATAGAGGCCACTCAAGCCTTTTTGGACGCTGCCTTGCTTGACCCTTCTCCAGAAGTTCAATTGTCCCGTGCAAAGACCATGTTCTGCGCAGCGTGCGCGGAACATGATTCAGAATGGCTGAGGAAGGGTCACAGCTGGAGTGCTAATTCGTGCATGACATGTGGGATGAACCTCTTTTATTTTGGATCCCACGACCCCCATGGGCGCCGTTCGGTTTGATCGAACTGTTTGGCGCAGAAACCCACCAACTAGGCGTTTCAGTACTTGGACAGTGGAGGCCAGCAGATTTTGTGATCGGCTGATCTCGCGCTGGGGGGGGAGCCTGAAGTAAGCATTTGATGTCCCAGACCCCGTCTATATTCTTCTGTATCTAAGGAGCATCATCTATCGACACGACAGAACGCCTTGCAGCAGCATGTTAGCATGTTGTTAGGCCAATCCTGTAGGGCAGTTGAAGATAGATAGGCAAAGTGACTCCCTGTGAATTATATGTCAGTTTGATTTGGGATCCTGATCCTTTATTTTTTTGGGGGGGGGAGGGGGGAGTTCTCACATCGGCTCGATCTCAAGAAGGTCCTCCCGTGGGGCACCAGATGCACCAGGACCCCCCAGAAAGGGCCCCAGACTTAGGTCACGTCGGCATGGGCGAGAAACGGTGTGCTGGGAAGTCAGGTTTTTGAAGTCAAGAAATATAGAAAGACATCCTCCTGATGCAAGGGATTCCCACCCGATCATGGGATGTTGCCGATCATAGGTCTTGGAGACGGACGTTGAGGCATTTGATGTTCTGGATTTCGTAGAGGTGTTTGTCTAGTTCTCTCGAGCACGAGACAATGAGGTCCTTCAAACGAGACCTTTGGTTTGAGGACAGCTGGAGAAAGATTGGCCTTGGCACGGACAATCACATGTGTTTCCATCTCGGGAGAAGATGAGCAGATGACCAACCCTACAATTCGGACTGTCAGACAATCAGATGCAACAGGTCTAGACCACTTGAAGCTTGATGAAACCTCCAGAAGCATCTGGTTGCTTCACCTCCTGCTCCGGATCTACCAATCGCCCGGTGCCTTCTCACCCGCCCAGTCGCATCACCGGAGTGCGCTCCAGGCCGCGCTGGGCCGCGCTGGGCCATGGGCAGCCTGTCGCCACCGAGGTGAGGAAGTCGCAGAACGACGGGCACGAAGTGTAGCAGGTCCCGTTTCGACGGAATGGCGGGGTTCATTCTAGGGGTGTCAAACGGATGGTTTTCGATCTGGCCTAACTTGGCGATCGGCTTGTAGGTTTGGTTGGTTGTAAGATGTTATAGCATTTAAGTTGCATGATCTTTTGTTGGGGGTTGTGTAGGAGGTAAGGATTTGTCTGGAATTTCTCTATACTGTAGATCAACCATTACTAGTAATATGCAAGTTTTTTCATACATGTTCCAGACTCTCCATTTGTTGCAGATTGCATATTTGCCTACATTGGGGTGGTTTAAGGAGTCAATGCGTCAAAAAAAAAGAAGGTCCCATTTGTCATGTTTGGGCTTGTACGGTTAGTATATTGAAATAATTTGATATATATTGAATGCAGATGGCTGGTTCGTGGATGTCCGATCTTGAACGGCCTTGAAGCTACTGTCTCCTAAGGAACGTTATCCATCCCAGACCATCCATAGGACTGGAATAGTTACCTACATTCGGGTGGTAAATGGAGCCAAATGATAGCCCATGTATGTAACAAAATGTCACCCATGGATGTTCTAGAATCTAGAATCATAATCAATTACACTACTCCGAATTCGATATGGCACGACGTGACAAGGAGAATGGGAATTTCATGGAAGACCCACTTTGCAGGTTCGCAAGAACACAGGTCTCTTTCCAAGGCTCGTCTTTGCAGGTCGTGGGTGTCGTCGCCCGACCGAGGCCAGTCAGACTGGCCCCACGAAGGAAGGGTTCAAGGGTCTCATTGCTACAGTGGTTTCAGAGTAGATGGCACATACCTCAAGATGTCCTTTACATGGGGGTTCATACAAACCACCTCTTGGGGTTTGTGCCAGCTACTCTCAATCCACTATAATGAGAGCTGGTGGAGGATGCACATCAAGAAGCCCACGAGATGTCAAGCCGAAGAGCTGGCCATGGCCACGGCCACTGCTGGCTTGTGGGGAGGCCACCAAGCAGGAAGTGACTGCTTGCATGTCTTCAGTAGAATCAGTAGGAACAGTTCTTTCTGCAGCAGAGTCTATGACTCTGAGCCTGTGAATCTTGGATGACCATACCGTGGTGAATATCGGTAGGTCACCAATCCCCAGAAAACATACACTGGACCGACTACCGGACTGATATTTGACCTACAGGCAGCCTCGCTCAGTTGCTACTAGTAGCTTCTTGCTACTAGTAGTGAGAAAAACTCCTAGTAGTAATGCAGTTACTAGTAGCGATGCCCTTTGCTACTAGTAGCTTCTTGTTAGCAGTAATGCCAGGAGTTACTAGTGGCTTCTAGTTAGTCGGTCATACCTGTAGCAACTACAGACCTTCCTCTTCGCGTGAGGCGGTCGGACACAGCCACCTTCGCGCGCCTGGGGCGAGCGGGCCAGTGGGAGGAGGCGCCCTCGGTCGTTCATGCGGAGACCTGGTGGAGAGCGGGGAGTGTGAGCAGGGATGGTGATATGACCCTGGCCGGCGCGCAGGTAGGAGCTCAGGAGATGGGGGTGTTCATGTTCCCCATTAAACAACTAAACAGGGAGCTGTTCGGAGCTTCTTGTTACTACTAGTAGCGATGCACCTTGTTACTGGTAGCTTCTTGTTACTAATATGTTGTAGGATGTCGTGTTGATTGTTTTGATCTTGCGCTGATTTGGAGAGTTTGTTGCCACAGCACATCGCTGCACATTTGAGCTAGTCTTTGGGTGTTCTGGTGAGGGTCTCGGAAGACAATGATCCTCTCAGCCTAGTTCTCAGGCTATATCTCGCATGGGGCAGTCCACCCTGCCACAGTGGAAGAATCTTGATCACCCTTTCAACAGGAGGACTCTCAACCCACCAACATCCAACTACACCCGGGAAGATCAACATGGAATCTGAAAATGGACCGTCTTGGAAGACGAGCTTCCTCCACAAATCAGTGGTTGTCAGCGGGCGTACCCGCCAGCTCAGACGTCCGAGCAGCGAAGGTTTTGCTGCTCCTTGACAGCTTGCCCAGCAAGCAGGCGAGGCTGCCTAGTCTTCTCTCGTGGCGCGAAGCAGGGCATGGCTTAAGCAGTGTCAGCAGCGCTTTGGTCCTTTCCCTTCGACAAGAAATGGCTGTTGTGCCTAGGGTGAACAAGGAGAGTAAGACTCCAACAAGAGACAAACGCTTCAATTTTCAAGGCCACTTTCATTCTTGCAATTACGTAGTGCGGGATGTTTGGTGGCCCCTCAGCAGCGCGAGCTCAATGGATTTATTCAGGTTCCTTTGATTTGATTGCTGTTCGATGTGCTGCAGCATTTGGCTCATTTCATCGAGGACCTTTTTCCCCTCTCAGCATGGTGTGCCTTGGTGTGGTGGGAGATGTGTGGGTGGCAGCAATGAACAAACATCAGACAACTATAGACAACATGTCTAGACGGACGTGTTTTTGCCAATCACCGCCCTTGCTCGGTGTGCTTTAGAACGGTGCAGTCCAAAGCCCTTCTCTTGGCCGCCATTGAGAGCCAACTGAAGAATGTCGCTAAGAGAGTCGTTTCCCACACCGAAACCACTGAACAACTAAACAACAAATCTCAATTCAGATCAGCTTGGCCAGAGAGTAGGTGCTGCAATTTTTCTGCTGCCAGCTTTGGCCTTTTCAGGTGCATCGCCTTCCTCGTGCTCTTGGTGCCCGTCACCTTGGCGACTGAAGCAGTGCCCACGGAGGCCACTGAGGCCTCACCTACGACCACGACTACCACGGACACGCTGTGCACTCAGTCGGGCATCCTACAGGCAGTGAAGCGGATGGCGCCCGCGTGCATCGCGGCGTGCCCGGACCTGTGCTCCTCGGATTGACTCATGTGCACACAACAAATCTCGGAACGACACCCCGTCCTATCGAAGTTGCGTGTTTTTCGTGTCCATGTTCTTGCATCGAATGGCAAAATTTCCCATTTGGGGAGTTATTTCATGAGACATGGGTGGCATGGGGCTGATTCGCGGTGATTCGCGTATATTTGCGTTGCTGTACTGTACATGGCCAACCAACTGCGCAAGGGATCTCCATGTTCCACAATACTGATCATCTGATCCAGTTTGCAGCATTGCGGTGACTCATTCCCGCCGGTTTTGAACCCTTCGAAGGAGCAGTCAATATATGTTGATTTCGACCCCTGAAGATGCTAGATGTGCTCAAGTCGCTCTGAGAGAGGGGACCCCTTGATGAGCACACGTTTGCCGCCCTGCCCGAGCACACCTTGAGGTTCGGAATTGAACACCATCATCATGACGGCACTCATGGGCATCAACCCAAAAGCACAGGCCCTCCGAGCGTGAGAGGGGAGTTGTTGGGGGTGGGGAAGCTGTGCCACCTGAGTGCGCTGTCGGTTCGGTGGGTACCGCCTAGTAGGTGGTAGATGGGTGCACAAGTGGCACCTGCAGGCCCATGAGTTTGTCATGGACACCGCATGGTACAGCAAGTGCGGACCATACCGCTGAAAACAAACCTAGCACGGACAGACTCAGACTTAATTAATGAACTGTATACGTCGAGCTTTCATTCAAGCCCCTTCAATGTCCGATTGCTATGAACACCATTCATTCCCGCAACACAACTTGCACGGCAGTGCCTGGTGACCTGCTGCGGAGTGGGAACTTTGGGCTTGGCAACAAAGAAACATAAGGAACTTTGCAGCAGAGGAGTTGAATCTGGCTGCCAGCTTTTCCTGAAGAGCTTAAACCATCTTAGATCGGACAGAGAGCAAGTGAAACGGAGGACGAACCAATGAAAGTTCGCACGCATGACTTTCAAACCATGAGAGGCTCGTCCCGTGCCGAGGTGTGTGCCAGTTTCGACACCTTCGTTTGCATGGACCGGGATGTTTGCTATTCGCTGCTCGACACGGCTGCGAGCTACGACTTGTTCCCAGTGCCGCGCAACGAAGCGGAGCTGCGGGCCGCTTGGTGGAGTTGCGGTCGGCTGCTTCGCTGCGCGGGCGAACCGCGCGGCTCCCATGGCTCCCAATAAAGGGAACGCTGCCCTCTTGGCAACAAGGTCCCAGACAAAAGAGGGCGCAAGCCAGGGCGCATTTAGGCGAAGGAGGGGTGGGTGAGGAAATCGGGTATTGGGTATGAGTTATGAGTTCTAAATCATGATCTATTAATTAATGTTCTATTGAATTGTTTCACATGTCCATGTCATGTTCATGCAGAGCCATTCTTTTCACAATAGCGTACAATAACAAGAATCACCAAACCAGCCGCAAGCCCTTTTGCAACGGATACTTGTAGTCCTATAGTCCTGCTCTATTTGCTCCCAGATGGTCATTGGAGCTTTACCCGACACAGGTTGCTCCTAAAGTCCTTTTCGCAGCGTGAAACCCTCCTTCCAGGTGCAAAACTCCATCGTTTCGCTCGGATGAAAGCTGCAAAGCACATCTCAGGAGCAATGCGGGATGCCTCCTGCTGCCCCTCGACGACGAAAGCGGGTGGTGCTTACCATAGATTCCCATAGCTAGAACTAGAACGCACAACTTCGTGCATTTGTTACAAGCCAACCTCATTTTTTGGCACCGTTGCCACAACTTGGCAGTGCCTGAATATGCAGATCCTGTGAGCTACTTCTTGTCCAGTCAGTCACACCGCATCGATGCCTGATATTGAGGATTGTTGAGGAACTGTTAAAAAATATAGGTAGCTTTCACTTGGTGTTCATCTTTTGAGAACTATCGAGGTTCATAGACCACATGTACAGTTCAAATCCACAAGTAGGTTCCTCACTTACCGATGTATTGGACTTGATGGTAGCTCTGTGGACGTTGGAGCATGGACGTGGACAACTCAAACCCACTGTTTCAAACCCAGTCGACCATGGTTCACCCTTGTTTGCCCCCCCCCCCGGCGTGCAAAGGAAACACCGAGCCAGGTGGATTGTCCCAGAGATGTTTTAGAATCTGTTAGCGGAAATTGCAGCGAATGGCGTTGGAAAGCTGTGAAACCTCTCTGATCTATGTCTCCTGGTACGTTTTGGTGGTTACAGTGTAAAGCCTGAAGGCCTCAATGAAGGTTTGTGGAGAACTGCGCAGATATTCGACCCATTGATGAAAGCCTTCCAAACCTGCCAGTGGGTTGCTAGTGTGGTTGGGCATGTTTTCCCACTTCATCCCACTTCCACATATGTATCCAATGTTTTGTCGGGTGCGATGATGTCTAAGGACCAGGATGAACAAGATGAGAAACATTACTTCGAAAGATACATACCCAAAGCATCCCAAAGCAATATACATACCCAAAAGATATAGACATACTCAACGATCTTACATACCCAAAGCTGGTCACCCAGCATTGACACCCCAGCTTTGGGAGTGTCCCAGAAAACCCTGCAGTCGGTGAAAGGCCTAGTCTTATCACTCCGTTCGGGACGGACAAGGCCTGCTGAACCGGCTCCACCATCCAAAGCGGCCCCAGGGTGGTTGGGATATACCCAAACCTGGCGGAAGCGTCCGCCAGACTGGCCGGGACCGTGGTCTGCGTTCTTTTTCCCCAGGAGCCCGAGGCGACCGGCGCGGCCGTCGCCGCCGTGCCCGCGGTGGAGGCCACGATGCCAAACGGTCAGACGGTGCGTTTTCCTTTGTACAAAAGCCTAGGGCTCCTGGCCTACCTCCTGAGAAGGTGGTTGGGGTGGGTGGGTGGGTGCCAGGGAGGTCCAACCACCTTCTGAGGATATGTGCTCTTTTGGGGCCCTAGGGATAGACAATGGGATCATCTCTGGTCTACGCTTGACAAGTTTGTTGGCTTTGGGATGCTTTGGGATGTTGTTGTGAATTTGTTCGGCACGGACTGTGGCTTATCATTTGCGTTTGCTAGAAAGACATGGACAGACGCCATCAGCTTGTTGAATCATGCCCTCTTTGTTACAAGATGCTTCTGAAATGCATCATAGTGACTCAAGTGACATCAAGTGACTTTACGTTTGATATCATTTGATACTTGTGAGGATCGCCATGGCAGTCAACACCAGAGGTTTGCAGTCCAACGTCGGAATTCTACCATCCAGTGCTACACCATCGAGGCGAGTGCCTGGATGGTGCCAGAAAAGTCGGGGGTCCACCCCCTAGGCTTCCAACCACCATTCATATACCCAAAGACTCCATGGGACTGCCATATATTATATGCCTACATTGACCCCCCAAACCACCCCAATGTAGGTTTTTGTGCCATACATGGAGTGTCTGGAATATACTGCAAACCACCCTCTGGAAAGCCCGCTGAGAAGCGCGACAAGTGAGAGACCGAACCACCAGTTGTACTAAGGATTTTCCACTACAAAACCAGGTCAACCAGTTTTGGAATGGTCTTGGAAGTCTAGGGTGTCCCCCTCCCCACGAGACAAGAACGCTTTGGAGAAGAAGGTATCACTGGTGATACCTGGGACCGAGGCCGGCACCAACGCCACGGATGTGGATGGCACCACGGGCGAGGCAAGTGCGGCTTCGACCAGCGAGTCCGTGAGGAGGGGATGGAAGAAGGTGGGATGGGAGAGAAAGGGGTTTTGAGGTTGGGTCTAAAGAATGCCCTCCCTCATGGCGCATGCGAAACATGGCGAAACACATGAGCCCCGTACATGTGATACTTTGCGTATGGTCCTTCTAGCCGGCAGACCTACCCACCTTGGATCTGAACCGTCATCCAACATCACGCCATATCACGTCATTGGATATAGAGTAAGTATTTGGCCAACACTACGAGGTTTTGAAGCGTATCTTATATATAGTTCGTCTAAACGCAGGATGTTTGTATGAACGGTAATCTCTATACATAATCTAACCATTTGGATTCACTATTGGCTCATATTGGCTCAACTGAGTCAACACCAGCCTTTTGGCTCGCACTGGAGCCTGACGACGTGGCTCGCGTGCGCCGGCGCTCTCCGTTTCGTCCGTCGGTGCAGGACGACCTCAGCTCTTCGGGGAACGAGTTCGGTGGCAGAAGGCGATGGTGGCAGAACGAGTGGGACCGACGCCTCGGTGGTTGAACGAA